GCTTTCTCCCTTTTTTCCTTTGTGAGCCTGGCTAGGGGTTTGTCTATTTTATTGATTTTTTCAAAGAACCAGCTTTTGGTTTCATTGATCTTTTGGATTGTTTTTTTAGTTTCAATTTCATTTATTTCTGCTTTGGTTTTTATTATTTCTTTTCTTCTACTGGTTTTGGGGTTTTTTTTGTTGTTCTTTTTCTAGATCTTTGAGCTTCGAGATTAGGTTGTTTCTTTGAGTTCTTTCTTGTTTCTTGATGTGAGCTTCTATTGCTATATATTTTCCTCTTATTACTGCTTTTGCTGCATCCCATACATTTAGGATATTGGTGTCCTCCTTGTCGTTCAATTCAAAAAATTTTTTTAATTTCTTCTTTGATCTCCTCATTAGTCCAGTGGTCTTCCAGTAGTGTGGTTTTTAATCTCCATGAGGTAGGAAAGTTCCTTGCCTTCTTTTTATGGTTTATTTCTAGTATGATGCCTTCATGGTCAGAAAAGATTGTTGATATGATTTCAATCTTGGTGTATCTGTTGATGTTTGTCTTGGACAATGGCAGCTTTTATATCTTGATTTTGATTTTGCTCTTTTCCTCCCAGACTTGTCTGGTTGTTTCTGATCTTTTTCTGTGGGTCCCTGCTAGAAGGTGGTTTAGAGTTGTGGCAAGCCTTGGACTTTGCTCTGGGTCTAGCCAGTTTGGGTGGACTTATACCCACAAGGGGGTAGGTAACTTTGGGTACTTGATTTAGAAACTATGTTCTTTGTCTTTTCTGCATTGTAACATTCATTGTATTAAAGTTCCTTTCCATTAAAGGTCTATATGGTTTGTCTTGATGTGGCAGATGATAGAACCTATTTAAAGCAGGCAGGTTTGGGATTCTGGGGTGCCCCTCTCCCTGTCCTGTAACAATATGGTACCCGAAATTTATGGTTTAGGAAACACTATCATTAAAACTAACCATGTCGGGCCTCCCCAGTCGCACAGCAGTTGAGAGCTGGGCTGTGAAGCTGCCCACAGCCTCTGCAGCCCTGGTTAGATCACTGGCCGGGGAGGGTCCCACATGACATGACAGACCTCTCCTGCTGCGCCCACTGCTCCCTTCAGCAGTGTACTTTGTCAATCTGCCTGTTCTGCTCCCCGCTCTGGCTCTGGTGAATTCTTTCACCCTTCCATGCTTCTGACTGTACCCAGTGCTTGTATAAATAAGTTAACTAATTAATTAAAAAAAAAAACTAACCATGTCTCTCTTTTGTTGTTGTTGTTGTTTAAATATTTTGAAAAAAAAAACAGCTTTACTGATGTATAATAGATATAAAATAAGCTGCACATATTTGAAGTGTTTACTTGTTGTTTTGATTTATACATTTATCCATGAAACCGTAACCATAAAGAAGATAGTGAACATTTCTGCATCTTAAAAGCATCCTTTTGCCCATTAAAAATACCTTCTATTCTATTAATATTATCCCCTCCAAGAACCCATCATGTGCTTTCTGTCATTGCAAATTAGTCTGCATTTTCTAGAGTTTCATTGAATTTGCTTTGCTAACATTTTGTTGTAGACTTTTGCATCTCAACAGTGAAATTGGTCTGTAATTCTCTTTTTAGATATGTTTGTCAGATTTTGGTATCAGAATGATGTTGGCCTCATAAAATGTGTTTGGAAATGTTCCCTCTTTCTTTGTTTTGGAAGAGTTTGAGAAGGTATTAGCTCATCTCTGAAGATTTGGTATAACTCACTTATGAAACAATTGAGCCCAGACTTTTGTTTTGTGGCAGACTTTTGATTGCTGTTTCAATTTCTTTATTTGTGATTGGTCTGTTCAGGTTTTGTATTTCTTCCTGATTCAGTATTGAAGGGTTGTGAATTTCTAAGGTTTTCTACATTTCCTCTTCGTTATTCAATAGGTTGGCATATAAATGTTCATAGTTCTCTCTTATGAGCCTTTGTATTTCTCTAGTATAATTTCTCCTCTGTATTTTCTGATTCAATTTATTAGATTTTTCTCCCTTTTTTTCTGAGTGAGTTTAGTTAGGGTTTATCCATTTTGTTGATTTAAAAAAAATAGCTTTTGGGTTAATTGATCGTTTGAGTTGTCTTTCTGATTTCTATTTCATTTATTTATCTGATTTTTGTTACTTCCTTTCTACTGGATTTTGATTTCATTGTTCTTTTTATAACATCTTGAGATGAGACTTAAGATGGTTTATTTTGGCTTTTTCTTGTTTCTTGATGTGGGCCTTTATTGTTATATGCTATACTCTTTTACCACTTTTGCCATGTCTCATAGGTTCTGATAATTTGTGTCTTCATTTTCATTCACCTCCAGGTATTTTAAAATTCCTTCATTGATTTCCTCTTTTATTAATTAATCATTCAGAAGTGTGTAGTTTAATTTTCATACAGTAGCAATTTTTCTTTTTGTAATTGATTTCTAGCTTGCCACCATCATTATAAGAGAAGATACTTGGTATTATTTCAAATTCATGAATTCACTGATTTTTTTAGTGATCTAGCATGTACTTCAGCCTGGAGAATATTCCACGTACACTTGGTATTCAGCTTTTTGGGGGTGCAGTATCCCATAAATGCCCATTAAGCTTATGCGATTTAATTCCTCATTTAAGACTTTTGTTTCCTTGTTTATTTTCTGTTGGTTGATCTATCCTTTGATGAAAGTAGGTTTTTGATACTCCCTACAATTGATTGTGTTACTTTAAATACCTGGTTTCAGATTTGATAACGCCTTACATATTTTGAAGCTCCTTTGTTGGAATAAATATATTGATTACTGCTTTGTCTTTCTGACATATTGCTCCCTTAATCATATATAATGTCTTTCTCTGTTTCTAGCTGGAATTCTATTTTATCTACTATAACATAGCTTTTCGTGGCTTGTAGATATGCTCTGTGGGGCAACTTGAAGAGTGGAAAGGAAAAGCTATGCAGAGAGAGAGGTGGCATTCACACATGGAGACTTTGGAATAGTTTTGAGCTGGACCTTGGGAAAAAAATCTTGAGCTGGCAAAGAGAAGGGCTGGGTGGGACACCATGTGGAAAAGCATGGGGACTTGCAGGTCACAAGTGTTTTGCTGGTGAATACTGGGGACTAAAAATAAAAAGAAGGAAATGCTGGGATGAACACTGATAGGTAGAGCAGACACAAATTTCTGTGAAGATGAGGGAAAACATTTTACTTTCCAATTCAGAAGAGATGGTGACCTCCCCTCTGCACCCACCCTCCCAAATCTCCACTGTGCTCACCAATCTGCCTGAAAAACCACCCTTAAAAACCATCCATGCAAGGTGTGAGAATGGCCTTCGTGCTTCCACATCCCAAATTCCCTGACCTCCTCATGGTGAAGCCTGGTTCACATCAAAGGAAATTGGTCAAATGACCCAATAGTGAGTCCATAGTGGTGGGCGCTCTGCAGCCCATGCACAAGTGAGAGTCCTTTCCTTCCCACTTGGAGCCCCCCAGGGGTCCAGCCAAACTCTCCTTTTGGGTTCAGTATTTATGTTCTTCCTGAGGTCTCCATATGCAGCTGATGGACAAGGCACAGGCCCTGTTCCTACAGGAGGACACATCCTGATGCTCAGGCAGCAGCAGGTGGGGTCCCTGTCACCTCCCAGCAAAGGTGTGTCTGGGGTCTCTGACTGCTGCCTTTGCAGTCCTGCAGGGATAATCTCACCTCTCCCCAGGCAGAGCAGAGGACCTTGAGACACGCAATAAAAAGCTCGGGATTTATGTTTCCAAATGGCCCCTCTGCACAGCCATTGTCCTTCACATGTCTGAATCATTTCAGGTACTGTGAACTTCCACAAGCCTCTTGGCTGCCCATGGAACAGTGTTCCATTTCCCTGTGTGATGTAAAATCTCTCTGAAATTTGGTCCCGTCTATTTTTTTGTCCAATCTTCCTTCCCCTGGTGAGCTTCATAAACTCATATGAGCTTCTCCAGCAAGCTCATAGCTTTTTCCTGCCATCACACATGCTAACCACCTCCCTCCACCAAGGATGTCTGACCCTGCCCTCATCACTTCATGGATCCTGCTTTTTGCTCAGTGACCACTTTAAGTTTAATCTGTCCCTGAGATTAATCTGCCCCTTCTCTGTCTCCCCATCCCAAGGGACTTGCACCCACCATTTGAACTCACCACTCGGTCCCCTTTGCTGTCCTAGGGCGTCTTCATGTATCCATAACCACAGGTGACGCCCCAACCCACCTGAACACTGAAGGCCACCTTCAAGAGGTGTCCCAGAGTTCACTGTGCTCGCCTCTGGTTACACCCCAGAGCCCTAGCCCCTACACAGCCCTCTCCCAAACAGCAGGCATTTCTGGGAGTCCCTGTTTTGTGCGTGCTTGAGCTACCCTGTGCCCGAGCTCTGAGCTGCCCCCTAGGGAGGTTGTCAGTGTGAGCTGCAGGCAGGTGACTGGCACCATGGTCCACTGGGCTCCTCTCCCACTAATATGGCCTAGGGCAAGGAGAGGCATGTAGTAGTGTTTTCTTCTCTTTTACTTCCCCTCCATGAAAGGCAGTCCATGCAGCATCTCACTTTATTTCCAAGTCATGTATGAACAGCCCTTGCAGGTTATATTTATGGCAGTGCTCCCCAGCCGTCTTCCTTCCTGCCCTCACCCTTCAGAGGAGAGTGTAGTTGGCTAAGAGTTGGGCACCAGCCTTTCCTAACCCTTAGCTGGAGGGTGGTCCTGTCCAGGCTCTGTATCATTCACTGTGACAGTAGGAGAGGGAGGCTAACCAAGTGTGGTCATCCTGCCTCCTTGGAGCCCAGAGACCCTGAGCAGCAGCTCATTTTCTCCCCTCTTTGAGTTTCTATGACTAGAAGTTTCTGCAAAGATCCCTGCTACCTTTCCCCTCCTTCTAAGACCATGGAGGAACATTTTCCATGGAAATTCAATTTATGATTTTCCTCACAGAGACAGGATGTGACTGAGACTTCCTCGTTTTGTTCTATCCATCTAGGTATTAATAGCAAAGGGCAGCGCCAGTAGCATATATCTTAAGATGGGTAATCTGTCACAGAACAACTGACCCCCTGAACTCGCTGCCCGCCCATGTCTACGGAGCCATAGCACCTGGGACCAGGACGCTTTACCACGACCATCTTCTGTGAGGGGTTTGAGATCGCCAGGACTCATCTGCCAGTTTGAACCTTTTGTCACTACCTGTCAGGTAGGTGGCTCGTTTTCATCTTTTAGAAATGGAAAGCAGGGAATGAATGGTGGGAGGCTTTGGAGCGAAAGCATTTCATCAGCTGGGCCCGGCCGAGGACGGGGCTTTCAAGTGAGGCTCAGAGAAGAGGTCTGTTCTTGCAGTTCCACCTGCATGAATGAGGGGGCAGGATTCTGATGCGTGCACCCCATTCTTTCGTAAGCCATGTCAAGCTTCATTAAGAAATCTTTCTTAGGGCAGTTCATCTCCCTTACAGACTAGGAGTGGAAACCCTCTTATGGGGCAATTGAAATCAGACCAAAGCAATCCTGCAAGCATTAAGTGATAGCTTGTAGAGGGTAAAGCACTGCAATGGAGACCGGAGGGGGAGAGTTTGGGAAAATGCAAAAGTCCTACCCCTCAAGGCTGCAGCTTAGGATGCAGGGAATGGGAAAAGGACAGAGCATGTAGCAGTACCAAACTCACGAAGTACCAAAGGTGAAAGGTAAGAATCTTGAAAGGGAGGCACTCCATGGTTGAGGGGCTGGAAATCAAGAGAACAGCAGGTTTTGTTGAAGAAACAAAAATGCAGGAGGAGACGCCAGAACGAGGTTGGAGTGGGGCCAGGGAGAAAAGAGGAGGAAGAAAAAGAGTGGTGGGGGGAGAAATGGGGTCCCCCTGGGTGAAGGGCCGTGGTGTTTCTTCAGCATGGTGGGCACGACCCTTCGTTCTCCCACATGTCTTCAGGAGGGAACATCCCAAGACCTGCTGGGAGGGCAGGGAGGATGTACCCACCAGCAAAGCTCAGCTGCAGCCTGGGTTGCTTTTTGGTTGTTCTCCATACTCCACCTTTCCCCAAATATCCACAGTGCCCAAACGCTCACCTTCCCTCCCCAACACAGATCTGAAACCCATTTACACTGTGCTGTGAATAGCTAAAATCAGGAAGTGTTTCTTCTCACAGGGATGCGTACATCACACTCCAGAAAGGATTGGAGACTTGAAATTGCAAAGTGGGGTTGGAAAGTGTGAATGTCAGGCAGTGAGTGGGGAGGAGAGTGCCCTCAGCCCCTCGGAGGCCCCACTAACCATCTCCCTCTCGTTGGGACTTCAAGGCCATGTGCCTGCATGTTGGGAGCAGGAGGATGCAGGGGCTGCACCTCCTGTTTAAGAAAGTCTGAGGGAAACTGGTTTTGAGTTGTTCTATCAGCAATGGAATTTTCAGATTTTTATTCATGTTATGTTGGTTGGTTGATTTTGTAGCTGACACCTGCTTCTCCAGTGCTTGTGAGATGCTGTCAGAGTGAAGACGCTGAGTCTGTGGCCAGGTGGTCCCTAACAGGGGTCATGGTTTGGAGGACAAAACTGGAGGGTGCACCCAGCCCTGATACAGCACAGCTGGCGAGGAATCTGAAGAAGCATAGAATTTGAGAGAAATGCCCCTCCCCAGCACCTTCTAGCAGGGGAAAGGAGGAGTTGCAAGTCACTTAGTTCTGTACCTCAGTTTCCTTGTCTGTGGTTTGGGCCTCTTATTAATAATATTTCTGGTACAGGTAATATGGGTAGCACATGCTCAGCTGGTTTTGGTTCTTGTTCCTGTAGGCATGTGTGCACACATGTGTGTTTACAGCCTCCTTCCCTGCAAGCCCAGAGGTGGGAATCCTGAGTGCATCATAACTGATCCCCTCCCGGAAGGGCCCAGGAAATGTGGGCTACAGGAGGAGTCTGTGCTCCTCCTGTGAGGCACCCCAACCCCACTTGTGAGGCCTGGCCAATGCGCGTCTGTCTCAGGAAGCACCCCAGTTACCACCTAACACAGGTCCTGACTAATTCCTCAAAATTCAGTCAGTCCATAGGGACCTATAAATGCTCTTTGAGCCCCTCTCATTTTGTAAGGCAAGAGTGGGTGCTGATATACCCTCATGGCTTTGCCCTCCAGGGACTCAGTGAGTGCAGGAAAAGAAAAAGAATGAGGCACAAAAGAAAAAAGGGGACTGGGGAAGGGAGAGAGCATGCAAAGCCAGTGTGAAGCCCCTGCTTTGGGGTTCTTCGCTGCCAGTTTCCTTGGCCTGCTGCAGACACATTTCTGCCATCAGCTAAAAGGGCAAGAGCTAGACTGCCTGCCTGGAGCCTTGACCCTGTCCCGAGGCCTCTGTTCTTCTGTTCATCATGTTGATAGTAATCCCAATAGCTTCTAAAACAGTCCAGCCCTGCACAGGGGACTCTGATCTCCTCCCTCTCTGGGGCCACAGCTTTCTCCCTACCATCAGAAGGGCAGTACTGCCCAATCCAGGCCCACTCACCTCATAGACTGCCCCCCTTATTGTAATCCCATCTGCCCAAGCCCTTCTAGCTCAGGGCTCACTCGGGGAGCACCCCCCCAATAACTCACCCATATACCTCCTCTCACCCCTCTTCTTCTAGATGAACCAGCAGCTTTTAAAGCCCTTCATCTACACCCTGCCAGAGGCACTGCTGATGGAGTGGCCGGGGCTCTGCAGTCAGAGGTCCTTGGAATGTGTGGGGAGAGGAAAACCAAGCAAAGGAATGGGGTGACTGAGGAAGAGGGGAGAGTGAGGGCACTAGAGAAATCTACCAGGCCCCTTCCCTCATTGGGGTGGTATGGCAGAGGAGGCAGGGAGATCACAGCCCCTGGAAGAATTCAGAGAGTAAAGCATGGATGTTTGGAAGGGGGAGGCAGAGGAAGGAGGTGTGACTTGTATTGTAAAAGCACCCAGCCAACACAAGGGAGAGCACTGGTTTCTTCCATTATTGAAGTATAGAAATTGAAGTTCAGCCAGTTACAGAATCTGTCTAAAACTGCACAACCAAACAGAGGATAAATGTGGAAAAAGTTATCTTGTCTTCCACGATGTGTTGACCACGCCATTGCTGGCTACCAGACTGTGCGGCATTACTCAGGTCCCGGTGGCCACCAGGAGTGAGTGGGTCAGCCCTCACCTGTGCTGGGGCTGGGTCCCCTGGACCACAGGTGAGAGGTCTGGGTTGTACATGCAGCAACAATCGCCAGTTGTCCCGCAGGATGGTCCACCTGAAGACTGGGTGCTGGAGGGAGGAGGCCCAGGGGTGGTTGCTGTTGGCAGGCAGCTGCCAGGCATGCCTCCCACTTCTGAGAGGTCAGAACTCTGTGTTTGTTCCTCTCTTCCGTGGACCTGATGTTCCAGGCCAAAGGGAAGTGGAAGCAAGGCGGGGTAATGGGAATGAAAATGCATCTGGAAGTGCTTATAGATTTCCCTTTGTTAGGGGAAATCACTAAATCCTACTGAGCCCCCACACAATGTGTGACTCTATTCATGGCTCTAAACAATACAAAATTCAGAAACCGCTTCCTCTGGGACCCTTCAACCCTGCCCCCTCGCAGTAGCTCTGTGAGTCCCAGCAAGGCCAGTGGAGCCATTAGCAGCCATAGCTGGAAAATTAGAAGTAGCTCTCACTTCCCCACTATGGCTTAAAAGAAAGCAGGCACTGGGACTGGTAAAAACAAACAAACCAAATAATCAACTGAGGCACAAAAGTGTCCTCAGGGTTGATGGGCCAAGTTCCATCTCTCCCGTGTCTCTCTGGCATCTTTTTGTCCCCCTCCAGGTGGCCACCACTGCGGAGGAGATGGTGGATTTCCCAGTCACCCTGGACTCCCCCCAGCGAGTGCCTCTGCCCAGCCGTCTCTTCTTCCTCACCCACCTCCTCCTCCTCTTCCAGCCTGGGAGGCTGAACCCAGGTAGTGTACCTGACCTGTAGCCTATCAACCAGGACCTAAGCATGCCTGCTTTCACCCAGCCCTCCTGCCAGGTGCTCCCAGGGCCAGGATCTTGTAGCCTGTATCATGCAGGCCAGGTGCTAAGATACAAGATTTCCATTGCAGATGTTGAAGAGCCACAGCCCCCAGAGTACCACCCAGTCCCACATACAGCTCTCCCCCACCATCTCTCCAGCCACCCAGCACCCCTTACACATGTCCCACAATCCCAAAAACCCCAGGCACAACAGGGACATAGCAGAAGAATACCAGTACCAGTATGGGTCTGTCTTGGGCTGAACCAGTTGACTCCACTTCTGCATATACACCATGCTTCCAAAATGTAGTAAGGCCTTCAGGTCTATCATCCATCATGAAAAAAGCTGCCAACATAGAGCATAAAGTGATTATGCAAGTGCAGTTCCCTAAGCTTGAAATAGGAATTCCATGGTGACGAGGCACAGCCCTCAAGCAGCTCATGGTCAAGAGAGAAGGACAGATGTGATATTAACAGATGTGCAGCTCTGTGTGGCCCCAGCTGCAAGGGAAATGTGCCCAAAGGCTTGGGAGCCCAGCTGAGAGAATAATTTGCTTTTTCTGGAAAACCAAGGAGAACCACAGAGTGGAGACACAGTTTGAGCAGAGCCTTGCAGGACTCACACTCTGCAGGAAGAGGACAGGTGGAGTGCGTGCCCAGGGAGAAGGCAGGCAGCAGGTGTGGGGTGGGGCTGCTGAAGAGAAGCTAGAGAGGAAAGATTGTAGGAAATGTTTGGGGCTTCACCCAGCAGCAAAAAGGGGTCTCAAGTGAAGGACTGAGAGGAACCCATGGAGGGAGAGCTTTAAAGGAGGGAAAGGAAGGACACAAAAGCCAGGGAGAAGAGTGAGGACATGTCAGTTGGCAGGCAAAAACACAAGAGTAATTTGCTTTTTCTGAAAAAAGAGGCACTGCCACAGAAACAGCAACTCTTGTGGAAACTGCAGAAGACAAACGCTTCTGTGGGAGAGGGCCACAAGGAGACACCGCTGAGGAAGAGGAGCAAACTGAAGATCCTCATGAATAGAAATCCCCAAAGCAGGATTTTAGCTAGAAAACTAATGAAACAGGGAGCCCCTGTAGGTCATTTTAATACCCTCTGTTATTACAGAAGTTGTACGTGTACGTTATGAAAAAATAGAAAATCAGACAAAGTAAAAATAATAAAACTTCTATTCTCATTATGGAGAAATTGATCTGTCTTCTATCAGATCTTTTCTCTGAGCATTTATGCAAATATGCATTTTTTAGTAAAATAAGAATATAGTATAAACATTTTTTGAGACTTACTGGGATTTGGGGGGGGGGTGTGCAGGCAGGGGAGAGGTCAAAAATTCTATTTCATTTAATGTCCTGACCATATTTAAATATCCCCAAAGTAACATTTGCAGCTGGTTGGTTCAGCCCAACAGCACGCACTGTATCTGTTCCCTGTGCACTTTTCAATCTGGCGCGTTCACTTTTTTAATGACAACTACTCATTCAAGATTGTCCTAGAGAGTGTGTCACCTTCCTCATTTAAATGGCTTACTGCGGATTCCTGAGCTGCAAAGGAACGTGATGAAGTCTTATATTCAGAAAAGCTGATTTTAGCCCTTGTTCTGGCTCCTCCTCGTAGAGGAGGTCAAGGTGGTCGGCCCCGGGGAGTCCATCCTGGCGCACGTCGGGGAGGATGTGGAGTTCCCGTGCCACCTGTCGCCGTACCAGGACGCCGAGCACATGGAGATCCTCTGGTTCCGCAGCCGGGCCTCCGAGGTGGTGCACCTGTACCAGGAGGGCCAGGAGCCGCACGGCCGGCAGCTAGCGCAGTTCCAGAACAGGACCCAGCTCATCACCCACGACATCGCAGAGGGCAGCGTGATCCTGCACCTTCACAGCGTCATCCCGGAGGACGAGGGGGCCTACGGGTGCCGCTTCCTCTCGGGCCGCTTCTCTGGGGAAGCTGTGTGGGAGCTGGAGGTGGCAGGTGCGGGAGCTGCCCAGGGCCAACAGGGGAGGTGGAGAGTAGCGTCCCCTTGAATAGAGCTGCTTTGCCCATGAGTAGCTAGCGAAGCACAGAGAAAGGGAGAGGATCTTTAATTCCTTTAAATGTTTAAAAAGAAAGATCCACTAAAAAATGAGCAAACGAAATCTTCACTAAAAAAAGATATCCAGATGATCCTTAAATATATAAAATGATCACTTTTACTTAAAATGAAAGAAAGGCAAATTAAAGCTACATTGACATACTTTTTTAATCGAAGATTATCAAACATTTAAAAATTTGCCCACACATTCTTGGTGGAGCTGTGGGCAGGCAAGCACTGCACTCTGCACGGCATTGCTGGAGTCTGAAGCTCTGGTGCCTGAGAACTTGCAGGCAGCTAAACACACCACCTGTGCCTCTGCCCTGTGACAGGCCAGGCCCAGCCCTCAGGACACATCCTCCATGTACCTCCCGCGGCTCGCTGCTCGTGTGGAAAAGGCAGGCATATAAGTCAGTCCCTGTAGCATTATTTGTCATTGTAAAACAATGGAAACTCCCCAAATGTGCAGGTGTGGGCTGAGTAAAGTCCTCACACCTGAGGGCGGGGCGGGGGGCTGGAGGGAGGCAGATGCACACTGCACAGCTGGAAGAATGAGGAGCAGCAATAGGAACGAAAAAAGTAAGATGCCAAAGAGGTTCTATAACCTGCAAACTTGTGTAAGAAGGGAGAAACAATGCACAAAAGAAACACAAGAAACAGAGAATATGCTAGAAACCAATGAAACTGGTTACCTAAGAGAGGGGAGGGTGCAGTGGGGTGGAGAGAGCAAAGGTCTGGACTTTCCTGACATACATTTTTTTACAGTATTAACATATAAACCCTATTAATATTTTGCTTATTCAAAATATAAAACTAATTCCACAAGTACAGGGAGATAAAGGGGTGCTTATAACAGGCTCTCAAGTTCTAGTGGGATTCGAGAGAAAGAGACGAGAATCTATTGAAATTTGGGGTGGAATTATTCTTCATTCTAGAGGGACTGTCCCTTGCATAATATAACAAAGTACCTGTAGCTTTTCCCAGCCAAATGTCCCCCGTCCCCCATTTCCAGGTGTCCCTCATGGGTAGTACTGTCCCCACATCCTACTGCCACCTCTGATTAAAACTGCTATTTACAGTCCACAGTGGGGGGGGGGGACATGAACCCACATGTGTTTTAAGAGGAATCACAGTTAGCAGCACCTTGTGGTGATGTGAAGGGTGAATGGTGGCATAAACTTCATGTAAAACTTCTGCTCTTTCCCACCCTGCCTGCCACCCAGGGCTGGGTGAGGACCCTCACATGTCTCTTGAGGGCTTCAAGGAAGGAGGCATTCAGCTGAGGTGTAGCTCCAGTGGCTGGTACCCCAAGCCCAAGGCTCAGTGGAGAAACCATCAAGGACAGTGCCTGCCTCCAGAGACAGAAGCCATCATCCCAGACACCAGGGGCTTGTTCAGTCTGGAAACTTCTGTGGTCATCAAAAGGGGATCCCACAGCAATGTGTCCTGCTCCATCCAGAACCCCCTCCTGGTCCAGAAGAAAGAGTTCGTGATCCAGATCGCAGGTCAGTGGGTGCCAGTCCACCCTCATCTCCCTGGCCATCACATTTTCCATGTCCCTTGTCTCCAGGCATCTGTAAGGGCACACAGGACCTGGGGTCTGTTTGTGTATGGGGTGGGCTGTCCATGACTCCTGAAAAGTCAGCAATTTGGATATCAGGAGCTTATTAAGAGTCTAACTGACAATCCAAATGGTAATTCACTAAAACCCAGAAATTCTACTTATTAAGATCCTCATGAGAGTCCATGTGTTACTCATTTCATCCCTCAAATAACATTTACTGAGCACCCACCAAGTACCCAAAGCCCCTGCCCTGAGGCTGACATTCCAGGGGAGGAGACAGACACAAAAGAGTGAATGACACTATGTGTTAGGTGGTAGGTGCCGCAGAGAAGAAAGAAGCTGGGAAGGGTGCCTAGGCTGGGCTGGGTGTGGATGCGCTTGGTGGGTGAGGGAGAAGGTGGTTAGGCAATGAATTGAAGGTGAGGCCATTATCTAGGATCAAAGTCTTAGTATAGAGGCACCATGGAAGGGTTTAACATTTGTGGCTCTAATTGCTTTAACACTTGAGGACAAACCCAACCAATTTTCTCATCAGTCCAAATCAGTCACTAGGATGGCAGAAAGAAATCCCATCCTTATAAGCAATGATTTGTTTTCAGATTAGAGGGCTTGGCAGCACCATATGTCACAACAAACTTCATCTGAATTTCACCTTGATTGGTGTGTTAGCTAAATGTCTTTATGTAAAGGAAAAAAAAATCTCAAATCTCTGACTAGCACTGGGTTTGCACTGGAGGCAGTGTCTGTTACACCTCAGCATACATGGAGACAGGAGGGCTTTCTCTTTTGATGTTCACATTTCAAAGATTTGGGTCTGGGTTTCTGAAGGAAAGTATTCTTAATTTGTAAAGCTAGCAGGAGGCTTATTTAGCTTTTCAGAAGATATACACACATCTCAATGGTGCAGAGAAAGGATTGACAGATTTTCTAAAGGAACTGCTCTAAGAAAGGGAAGAGGAAGAGGAGTTCTCTTCCCCCCCCCTTTTTTTAAAGATTTATTTATTTATTTATACAAGAACAAGGGTGCAGGCCAGATGCGCAGGAGGGTGAGAGGATCAACCAGAGACAGAGCAGGGAACAGAACAGGCAGACTGATGAAATACACTGCTGAGGGGAGCAGCGGGCAAGACAGGAGAGGTCTGTGGCACCAGGTGGGACCCTCGCTGGCCGGCCAGGATCAAACTGGCGCTGCAGAGGCTGCGGACAGCTTCACAATGAGGTGCTCAACCGCCTGCGCCACCAGGGGAGGCCCTCTCTTCCCCCTTTTTGCCCAAGGAAAATCCATATTTTTCCTTTTTAAATTGTGTTTATTCTTCACAAAGTGTATGATTCACATAGATATCTGCAGGGAGGGCTCTCAGGTAGAAGGAAGAGCAAGTGCAAATTGTGTGGTTATTGGAGAAACAGGACAGAGGCTGGACCAGAAGATCAAGGTCAAGGGCAGCAGGCCAGGGAGGCCCTGGATCCTGAGCCCTTGCACTTGACCACTGGATCAGTGCTTTCACAAGCCATCTGGGGTGAAGGGCCAATCAGTCCACTGTCTTTCAATTAACCCAACACTTTCATACAGATAATAAAAGCATAGTGCTAAGAAATTAAAAAAAAAAAAAGGACTCACTATACCAAGTGAGACACAGGACAGCATATTGTCTGATTCCACTTATAGGCTGTATCTAGAGTAGTCAAGAAGGGAAGTAGAATAGAAGTCACCAGAACCAGGAGGGGGAAAATAGTGGTGGGGAGGGGAGGGAGGTTGGTGTTTAGTGGGTGCAGAGTTTCAATTTGGGAAGATGAGTTCTGGAGTTGGCCTGGGGAACCATCGCCACGTGAACATGCTTAATGTCACTGAACTGTACCCCTAAAACGTTAGGATGTCACGTTTGATGTTATGTATATTTTACCCTAGTAAAAAAAGAAAATTTTTTTTTACAAAAGCAACAATTTTTATAATTATCTTTAACAGACACAAATTCTCTGAAACTGCCACCAGCATCTCTGAAAGTTTACTCCCCATTTTGTGCCCGTATTTCTTCACTGTGTGTACACATCCCACCTCAGGCAGACCCCTCCCTGGCAGCCAGGGGAGGAAACGGGGAGCTCTCAGTCAGCCCCCAGCTGGCTGTGCTATCAATGCTCCCAAGGGTGTGCTGAGAAGTAGGAGCCAAGTGTTGGCAAGAAGCTGAGATGATGATTGGATTCAACTGTGAGGGGAAGATCAGTGACAGGTTTCAGATGCCAACCTGACACCTTGGAGTCTCTTGTCCTTCAGGTGTAGGCCAAGAACAGGGAGAAGTAGAGGGAGTCGAGCCTTGGGCACAGTATTCTAAGCTGGAGACTTGGTGTGGCCCAGCAGCTCTTCTTTCACATCCTTCAGTTTGGAGTCCTTTCCCCTTTCTGAGCAAGTTCAAGTTTACTGCTATTTCTGGGGTTCAGCAAAGTAGCTCTCCTGCTGTTGTGGGGCCCAGAGGGCAGGTATTCAGGTCCGTGTGTCAGAATAGTTTAGTCACTTAGTGTTTAGTGGTGCCTGAATGCAGACAATTCCCTGTGCGATGTTTTCCAGATGTATTTTTACCAGAAACGTCCCCCTGGAAGAGAGCTTTCCTGGGCATGCTGGTGGGCCTGCCGTTCCTTCTGGCTCTCCTCACCACACTGCTGCTGTACTTCTTTCAGAAGCAACGGAAATCCCAAGGTGAGAAGCTGTTTGACCAGCTGGTGAGGCGGGAGGAGGGAAACAGGCTGGGGAGCACACCCACTCAGGACCTCTCCCGTTCCTTCTTCCTTTCAGAAAAGTTGAAGAAGCAGACAGAGAAGGACAAAGGTAAGCAGGAGAGGGAAGCTCTCTACCCACACCCTTATACCCCTGACTAGCAGAAGGGAGCCCACTGGGTCAAGAAAGTCAGACTTTCAGGTGGGGCTGGGGGTGGTGGTGGGGAGTCTTGGGAGCAGAATCCAGAGGGATACTACATAGGTTTGCTCTTCTGCTTCTGCCTTTGAGCCCCTCGGCTTCCCAGGGCACCAAGGCCTGGGTCTGTGCATTCAGAGAGAAAGGCCCTGGTGGTCATTGACAGAAATTATCCTCTTTTTTTCTTCCTTCTGCAGAGAAACTCACAGCACAGCTAGGTAAGTTCTGAGTACCACATGCACAGCACTGGCTGCAAACTAGTGCAATGAAAGAAGGGGTTCAATGATTATAGGCTCCCCTTGGAGCCTTTGGAGAGCCATGAATGGCAAGGGTTTCATTCTAAACCTACCCCTTTGTGCCCTGCACTTCTTCACTTCATATGGATTTCTATGCAGCTGTCAAAGAGGTCTGCCCTGAGACCCTCGGGACAGACCCTGCCTCTCTTGTCCTTGCAACTTGGAATAGTTAGGTATAATTACACTAGTAAATGTCTACTCCCTCTAGATTATCTTCCTGGGATGTCCTTCTCTCTTTAATGTGAATTTCACGGGGAAGAATAATACCTTTAATCTACACCAAAGATTCACTCTTTTCTCCAGGGAAAGTCAATACACTGAAACCACAGAGTGGGTATGTTTATACAGAGGAGGGAGAGTGAATGCAAAAAAAGGGAGAAAGTAAAAGAGAAGGCTACCTGAGTGGGGAACAGAGCTCAAGAACCACCTTGTCTTCCCCAGTAAAACTGCAGAAAAAAAACATGAGCTTGTCTTAGAGTGTACCTAGCCCCCCCCCCCAGGAAAAAACAAACAAAACAACAGTCATATAAATCATTAACACCATAGCAGGAACTAGGATAGAGTGTTTCTCAGAAACATTTCCTTGTATTAGATGATATAGGTTGGAGGGTAGAAAGGAATGCAGTTCTAGTGGCAATATGTCAGAGTACTTGGTATTCAGCCAATATAAATAATTCTATGCAATGTCCTCCCAATCCCTTAAACAGTGTACTCAGTAGGTGACCCTAAGGCTCATGCAGCCTCTGCCCAGTTCCTGGACTTAGGCAGGACTTTCTCCCCAGGAAAGTTTATGCTTTCAGGGCAAATGAGCAGTATCATCCAAACAAAACCAGAACCCTGGCAAGAGTACCCACACTACCAAGATCTGTTTTCCCTCTCAGCCTTATGCAGATTTCTGCCTTAGAGCAAAGAATAGGATGGGACATACGAATCCTGCAGATGGGCATGCGCAGGCAAGGATGGGATTGGGGTGAATGGTGTATTAAGACTAAGGAAGTCTTCCCAGTGGCCTAAGTGCTTTGAGAAAATGGTTCCACTCATCTGAAGGCTAATGACTTCTCTGTGTGTTGTTCTCATAGGGAAGCTTCAGACAGAGCTTGGTAAGTGATCCCTCTTAAAACCGTTTCTTCTTGTGAACTTTTTATCATGTGATTATTCTCATATGTTCTTCTCATCTCCCAACCAGGTATGATGCTCGGGGTGGGACCCTACAGGCCATGCGGGTGGCAGGAGATAGGGGGTAATGGCAGGGGGCACATGTAAGCGGGGTTGGAGGAACCTGGTGTTCTAATTCTGTATTTCCTTGCCTGCTTCAGACTGGAGAAGGACTGAAGGCCAGGCTGGTGAGTGAAGCCCACTTCCTTCCCACTATCTACTTTACCTCTCAGCATCACAGTCACTTCCTCTGATTAACCAATCACCTTCATTCTGGCTTATTCCACAGTCCCCCATGACATGTGCTAATTTATGTCACTTAGTAGGGTAATATTCCAATTTTACTTTTGTGTTTATTTTGATATTGGCCTGAGGTACGAGCACACTGTAAACCAGTGTTTGTGCATCAAAATCACCTAGTGACCACCCTCAAAGACTCTGACTCATGGGTCTGCAGCGGACATGTTACCCTGTTGTAACTGTTTCTCACCATACTTTCCTCCCTTCCAACAAAGAAAGTGTAATGTGTATCTTTATTTTGTAAGTATTTTTGCAAGATGCAAATTTCTCTTTTGTGCATGTGGATTTTAATTTGTGAAAATGGCATTGACAGTCTCATGCTATCTCTTCCTTTTCTCACTTATCACTGTTGTAATGTGCATTCCTGCGCCACATGTGCCCTGTCACCTTCCCGCTCTAGGCTACAGTGTAGTCCCCCCTTTTCCTGGGTAGATGTCCAGCCTGCCTCCAAATCCACACCCCCACAGCCTTAAGCACATCGCCTTCTAGCCCTCTGTGAAGATTTCTCTGGGATGTATATTCAGAATGGGAATTGCTGGCCCATGGTGGACATGTCACTAAGTGGGATAGAGGAACCCCTGAAGGCAGCACCCCATCCTGCCATTGGCAGAACATGGAGGTTCCCTATGCCCACATTCCCGCATGTGCCAGCTTTCTACGTGTCAGTCAATAGGGAGGAGTGTTTCTCACTGTTCTTTTTCTGAGTACGCCTCTGAACACCAGGAAGCTTGACATATCCATGCTGGTTGGCTCTTGGGACTTCCTCTTCTGAACACTGCCAGTTCATTCATGTCCTCTTTCACATGAGGTTACTATCTTTTCTTATTGACTCACAGGAGAGACATATTAAAATTACAATATATGTAACTATTGATATATTACATGTAATACATTATTAACTACATGTAATTTGTCATTAGTGCTTGTTTATTTGTATTGATATAATACATATTTATAATATATAATTGGTGTATATATAACAATATAATTATAACATAATTACTATATATAATTATATGTGTATATATAGTAATATATTGATATTATATATATAAATATCATGCACACTATTGAAAAGAAATCATTAATTTTGATAAACTCTAATTCATCAAATTTTTACCTTATAGTTTGTGTGTATTAAATTTTGTTGAAGAAACCTTTCTTCACACTTAGGTCACAAAGATATTCTCTTATGTTTTCTTCTATTTACTTTGTATTATTGTAGTTCTTAGTTCATCTGAAATTCACTATGTATGGAATTAGGTGAGAATCTGATGATTTTTCTCCATATATATGAAGAAATACACATATATATGGAAATTCAGTTTGCCCAGTTCCATGTACTGTGCCACTGAGATTTCTCCATCAATATGTGAAAGTCAGTGCAAACTCCATTCCCACGTCTAGACGGAGCTGTCTGTTGGCCCCCTGTTTAGTACTGCATTGCTTGTACTGCAATGGCTTTTATAGTACTCAAAAGTACAAATTCTCCATTTTTATATCTGTTTTAAAGTTAATGCACCTATTTAAATAAATGTTGGGATGAATTTATAAATTTCCATAAAAAATTCAAAAGTTTTTATGGGATTGCTTTGGATTTGTAGGTGAATTTAGGGAGAATCTTTATAGAATTAAGTTCTATGTAAGGGCTGTATATTTTTAAACTTCTACCAGTTATTCTTTTGAAAAACCAGGGTTGAAGACCTCTGTCCTTTCTCAGCAAAATTTCAGCTTTTATGCAGCTTTGGGGTAACCCAGCACTGAAGCCAGCCCTCTACAAAAAACTAAATTCCCAGGAAAATGCCATGACAGACCCAGACCATTAGGTGTCATGGTGGGAATGGAGCTGTTTTGTTTGTGTCTCCCTCAGAGTTCCAGCATTACTGACTCAGAGCTCTAAGCCTGTTTTTCCTTTCTTTTTGGTTTTAGAGTGGAGAGCAGCCCAGAAATATGCAGGTAACTGAAGCCAAACAATTGTGATAAATGACTTGGGTTGGCTGGATCAAAGAAGAGATAAAACTAGTAGAGAAAGGGTTTATCCAGGAGCCAGTTGTTGAGCCTGCACACTCACACACATACACAGTCACACACATACACACACACACACCCCAACAAGACATGTATACATGTTGGCATGTAGCTTTCTGGGCCTTACTAGGTTTGTTTCCATCTGAGAGGAAGGTTGTTAGGGTCTATTTGCAAGAAAGAATACAGAGTTTGTAAGGAACTTCCAGGTCATCTGGCAGAAGGGATCCTGGGGGTTCTCATCCATCCACTGGGTATGTCTTGAGTGGTGCGTTGGACCAAATCATCTCAGAAGTCCCCTTCGGTTTTAAAACCCCAAAATTGCTGTAAAACAGAGAACAGAATTCACGAGATATTCTCTAAGACACACTGGGTGATGGGACCAGGAGTGACTAAGAATCACTACGGAGCTCCTTCGCTGTGACCAGGACATGGGGGAAGTGCGCCCTCCTCCACCCCCCAACCCCCAAACCTATCTTGTTTGCTATCTCTGCTCTTCAAGGCACCTAGTATGGAATTTAGGAAGCTTCCAGTTCAGAAAAGAAATAGCATTCCTCTCCCTTTCAAATGCGCAGGAGTGACTTCTCCATCACTTCAGTGCCAGGGCAATGTGGTGGCGAGGAAGGGGATTACTATTCCCAACTAGGCCACCAGGAGAATGAGAGGACAGGTGGGGAGCTGGGGTGCCCAGAACCATCCTCTCTGGGGCACTAACCCCGTGACTCTGCATAGTGGAAGTGACCCTGGATCCGGCCTCTGCGCACCCCAGTCTGGAGGTCTCCGGGGACGGCAAGAGCGTGTTCTCCCGCGCGGAGGTCCCGGGTCCCGCGGCTGCTGGCCCGCAGCAGTTCTCGGAGCAGACGTGCGTGCTGAGCCGCGAGCGCTTCTCCCAGGGCTGCCACTACTGGGAGGTGCACGTGGGCCGCCGCAGCCGCTGGTTCCTGGGCGCCTGCCTGGCGGAGGTGCCGCGCGCCGGGCCCGCCCGCCTGAGCCCCGCCAGCGGCTACTGGGTGCTGGGGCTGTGGAACCACTGCGAGTACTTCGTCCTGGACCCGCACCGCGTGGCGCTCTCCCTGCGCGTGCCGCCCCGGCGCGTGGGCATCTTCCTGGACTGTGACCGGGGGAAGCTGTCCTTCTTTAACGGGAACGACGGCTCCCACATCTTCACCTTCACCGACACCTTCTCGGGGTCGCTCTGCGCCTATTTCAGGCCCAGAGCCCACGATGGCGGCAAAGACCAGGATCCGCTCACCATCTGCCGGCCGCAGGTCAGGGCGCAAGTGTCTGAAGAGAACGACAATGACTTCTTGCTACAGCCCTATGAGGCCGCGGACCGCACCCTGGGCCTGCCGTGAGGGGCTGTCTGTGGCCGCGGGACCGGTCCTGGGCGGCTTCTGGGGCCTGCAATTTCCTCTGGTGCGCAAACGCCCAACATGGGTGCGCCAGAATGTCAGCAATGGCTAACGTCTCAGCACAGCATAAGGGGGACAAAAAGAGGGACTTTGCCCGTGTAGATCTGCACATGTATATGTGTGGTTTCTTTTTAAGAGGCACTGTCAAAGTTCAACTGTATGTATTGTAAAATTGAGCAAATGAGTAAAAATATATTGAAGTTGCCTGGAGCCTGGAGGAAAAAAGAGGAGAAAGAGATTGGAGTGAGGAAAGGACAGTGAGGAGAAACTTTGTTGGGTTGGATTAAAGTTATCATGCCTTGCATATATTTTTGCATATGTATTTTGTAGGAATGTCTAAAAGGAATGTGACCTCAAAAGCAATAAACTCACCATAATTGCATTTATGTTAATGTACGATTTTTGGAAAATCCCTAAAGATGTGGATTGGTTGCCAGTGGAACCAACTATGAGATCAGAGAACTGGAATTTTCAGCCCCATCCCCCAACCTCCAGGGAGAAGGAACTGGCTGGAGATTGAGTTGAATCACAACTGGCCAAAGACTTAGTCAGTTGTGCCTATGGAATGATGCTTTCATTGAAACTCAAAATAACAGGACTCAGAGAGCTTCTTGGAGATTTAGGAAGAACTGGCTGTTCAGAGTACAAGGACGCTTGTTCCCTTCCCACACCCCTTATCCTATGCACCTCCTCCATCTGGTGGTTCCCCAAATGGAGCAAATCCTGGCAGAATCAGGTTGACTCGGTTGATGGGTCCTTACCTGTGTGCTTGAAAATGCAGGTCATGATCCAAAAGCAGACACACAGTGAGAAACAAGAATAACAGGGTTCATTTACTTAGGGAGTAAGGAAAGGGGGAGGGAGGGAGGGAAGGTGAGAAAGGCAACTATAAATCAGAGACATTCTGCAAGAGAGGGGGAGGCAGAGGAATCAAAACAGGTGAGAGAAGAGCTCAAGGTCTGTGGTGATGGTTCACAGATGAATGGGTGGTGAGGATTTTATGTGGACTACACCTGAAAGGAAAAAGCGTACAAGCATGCACTGTACAAAAATGAACAGTGATGTGTTATGTATATATGAAAAAGAAAAAAGAAGTTAACATTGCCAGATATAACACAGATACTACACCACTTGCCTCCTGAAACCATGTGGTATAAAGAACACAACAGCACCATTTTTGAGGTATTCCTGTCCTTAAAAATCCATAAATCCTGGGCAAACATCAGCAAACTGGCTGACATGCTTCAAAAATGTCAAGGTCACGAAAACCAAACCATGGCTAAGGAATCGATTCAGATTTAAGGAAACTAAAGAGACATGAGAATTAAATGCAATAGGTGCCCCTGAATGGGTGCCTGGACCTATAAAAAAAACATTATTTGGAGAAAAAGAAACATTTTTGATAAATGCCTATGTATTAGATAGTTAATATGGGTAAATGTTAATGTCCTGATTTTGATGTAGGAGAGTGTCCTTATTTTAAGAAAAGATAGAGTTAGCAGTAATGGGCATGATGTTTGTATCTTATTCTCAAATGATTCATACAAAAAATATTGCAATATAGAGAATGATAAAAGAATGCAGTAGTGTGTGATAAATGTTTTAACAACTGGCTTTCTGGGAAGGAAAAATCAGTGGCATTTTCTGATTACCATGGTATCAATATCCTATTGTGGCTGACTTCAGCTGCTGATACGACATCACTGGAAGAAAGAGACGCCAGTGACTGACTCTCCTCAGGGCAACTCCAGTGCACTACTGGTTTCCTGCCACCCCACATAGGGTGTTTGGCCTTTGATGTCTCCCAGTTTTCTCCCCCTCTGGGCAGATCACCAAACCTATCAAATGAGATGCCAACTTCTTGGCATCCCCCCCTCCCCCAAGTTACCTATGATTCTTTCAGGTTAAAGCAGTGGCAAGTACCTTTACCCTCTTCTCCATGGAGGGCAGAGAATTACTTCTAACCACGTGTAGTTCACTCCCGGGGCCGTGGTGACCAATCCCTTCCCCAAAGTCCTCTTTCCCTGGTCCTAAAGGAAATTAATTCCCCTTTTAAACACTTGTTTCATACATTTATTTCTTTTATTTAATTTATGGTCAATGTAAATCAATTCCATAAAATGAGAAAGTATAAAGAATCAAAGCATAATCACACAAATTCAAAATAAATACCCAACACAAAAAGATACAAGCTCAAAAAACAGCTTTGTTTGTGCACTCACAGTATTGTGAGATCCAGCAGATGTTGCTTCAAAGGAAAGAGATAATGCTTATATCCTTTTGAAAACTGTGGCCACATCAGACCTTAGTACACTTCTGCTAATCAGTGTGTTGACATAAGCAAAACTGTTTTCTAAAATTTTTTGAAATTTTGAATTTACTACCACATTAAAGTAGTAAGACATATTAATACTTTCCAGAATGAAAACCCCTCCCAGACTTCAGAGCCAGTTTCTAATATCTAAAAACTGATTAATACATAAAGCATCCCAAATATAACCATTCTAATTCTTAAAGGTTAAAAATCATTTTCAAAAATAATTTCAGAGAATTATTGCAAACAGGTGTGTCCCAGCCTTATTCCAGCAAGGGTATCTAGTACTGTATCCACAGCCCTTGGTCTAGCCTGACCCCACTCCTACCACACCACCTGCTTCCTTCTCAGGCTCTTCCCCTGGCAGCTCCATCCTGGCTCCAGGCAGCATTGTGTATGGTGACTAGGCCTGTTTCCAAAGTCCTGCCCGGAAACTCGGTCGCACAGAGGCCAGGGCTCAGCAACACACACACACTGATGAGACCTGGGGGCTTCCTCTTCTAGCCAGCGGACCCCTGTATACTGGTTGCCACAGTTCATATCAGGCCGAGGAACTATCACTGTCTTCTTCTTCCTCAGAAACAGTTTGGAGACAAAGATGTTGCTGACTAAGATCCAAAACCACATCATTGCCGAGGTTCTATGTTACAGCTGCTGCCGCCTTGGGATGTCCTCCAATCCTCTGCTGGAAGGTGAATTTGAAGAACTGGTCTGTGAGGGACCTGGAAGAGAGTCCGAGTACCGGGAAACAGAGAAGTAGTGGGTGAGCTGGAGAGCACCAAGGCACTGGCCAGTCTTTTTTGAGACCAAAGTTGGTTTCAGGTGAACCCTACACAAGTTGGAGTCCAGTTGGCACTGCTTTCTATTAACCAAGGAGCTTACAACCCCATTGTAGAAATACGTACTGCCCACATTTTTCAACTGTAACTTTCTTGCAACCAAGAGAAGGGACCAAGAGCATGGTTGCTGGGTGATTGGGGGAGAGGGGAAGAAGGAGAAGGGACTGGGGCAAAGAAATGAGTTGTCCTCTAAGTGGAATTAGGTCCTGCTGCTGGCAGCCACAGCACATGCGCATGTAGCTGGCACTTTAGATTTCTGTTCTGGAGATGATGCTGAGAAAAGGGTGCGACCCCTATGTTTATAGCAGCACTGTTTGCAATAGCTAAGCTTTGGAAACAACCCAAATGCCCAAAAACAGATGACTGGATCAAGAAGATGTGGTACATATACACCATGGAATACTACTCAGCATTCAAAAAAGATATAAACACATGCAATTTGCAGCAACATGGATGGCGCTGGAAGGGATCATGCTCAGCGAAATAAGCCAGAAAGAAATAGAAAAATACCGGATGGTCTCACTCATAGCAGGTATCTAGAAAACTTATATAGGGGACCAGGAAAATGAATAACTATAAGAAAGTGAAAAACAAAAACTATGAACCAGAGACACTCTATGAGGGGTGGGAGGCGGGGAGGGGAGGGATTGGGGTCAAAATAAAGGGGTTGCAATTGTATGGGGAATATAAAAATAAAATTTATAAAAATTAAAAAAAAAGAAAACAATATTTTGAAAGTAAGAACTAGGGTTTAAAATTTCAGATAATAACTAACTGGGAGAAAAAAGGGAGAGCAATAAAAACAAAGTATGCTAAAAAAAAAAAAAAACCCATTGTGAGAGATGTCACCAAAATGGTGACAGAGGGGGTTCCTGGCTTCACTTCCAAAAGGAACAAAAATCCTTTGTAAATGCAAAGAACTGTAGAGATGCAAACATTCAATAATTTTATTATTGTGTGAGAAAAAATATACAGAAGCTTTATAACTTCTATAACAAAGTAAATAATGTCTGATAAAGTTGTTAACTCACCAATTAATGTTTGATCTGTTATCAATTTTTTATCTACACTTATTAGTTTAATAAAAAGAAATCTCTGAACAAAATAAAAAGAAATAGAAAAAGAAAAGGGTGCAAATGTGAACTGGTGCTATCATATGGAAAGCAATCTGGATTTACCTTAAAAAGTTAAAATTGGAAATACCATACAACCCAGCAATCTCAGTCTTAGACATGTATCAAAAGGAAGGCAGTCTAAATCTCCTTCAATGCATGAAAGTGTCTAGAAGATATGGAGTATTATATTGCCAAAAGAAAAGGATGAGGGCCTCCCCTGGTGGCGCAGCAGTTGAGCGCTGGTCTGTGAAGCTGCCCATAGCCTCTGCAGCGCCGATTCAATCACGGGCCGCTGGCGAGGGTCCCACCTGGCACAACAGACCTCTCCTGCCACGCCCACTGCTCCCCTCAGCAATGTATTTCTTCGTCAGTCTGCCTGTTCTGTTCCCCGATCTGGCTCTGATGAATTCTCTCACCCTCCCGCGCTTCTGACTGTACCCAGTGCTTGTATAAATAAATAAATAAATCTTTAAAAAAGAAAAAAAAAGGAAAAAGATGAAAGGTAGCCGTTTTCAACAAAATGGAGTTTGAGAAAATAATGTGTAGAAAAGAAAATACTAGACATTGACAGAGCAGACAATTCAATAACATAAAATACTTTCAAAAACCAGTGGACATTAAGTAACACTGTGAGGGCTCTGAATGAGGGACAAGAGTATCTAAGGAATGGTGGTAGGGGAAATAAATTTAAATAAGTAAAATAAAATGGCTGACACTTGAGTTCCTGGTCTACTGCTTTATGTTTAACACCACGTTTATGATTTCCCAAGAAAAGAAGCATTGAGCTTATTCCAAATTTCAATAATATAATATTTTAAATAGCTAGTATAATATACCAAATAGCTACATTTTCCTATTCTACAGTGTCATTCCTTTTTAAAAAGTCTCTTATAAGATTACTAATGTAAAAATTTCAGCATAAAGCAACAGTTTCTAATAACAGAGTATTGTAGTATAAAACTGCAAGAATCAGAATCTATTTAAGAAGGCTTTCGAGGGAAACAAAAACAAGTACACTAGAAGAAAATTAAGTCTCTGACAACTACAGCAAATGCAGTATAATTCCAAGCCAGAAAAATACACCATCACACAAAAGTCAATTTGGTCAGTTCCTAT